AAATTTCCGAAATTATTATAACATACACAGTGCAAACCAAAATAGAAGGTGAATTATTCAGATAAAAGACCAAAAAACTTTCGCAAAATTGTAAATCTCATAGATCTGCCCTTTCTCTCCATTCTGTGCACGAAAACACATAAAACTAACAGTATTCCATGTACCCTGTATGTGTTTCTGGTGTACATTTTTTAGTTTCATACCTTGAGTAAATGAGTTCCACTTGAGCACATCTCTGGTACTAACTCCGCCAGGGAAAATGAAACATATCTTGGGAATGATGATCGTGGAAGCGAAACACTTGATGGCCAATCACTTTGTGAAGGAGTACCTATAATACTAGAAAACAGGAAAGAAAACATCAATATCCAGTTGTAAAGTAGAGATCCTATAACAACATGCATTTATTAGAGGAATTCTGAGTCTGTTTTTGTACAGTAGTTTAAAGGCTGGGGAGGGTGCCCATTTGTTTACAGTAGATGGGAAAATTATTAGAGAACTTTTTTACTTTATGGCATTGTGTTTCTCTACAAATATTTGCATCATTCATTGGTTGGTACCTTTAATTTGGCTAGTGATCAATTGATAGAGATGTTGAGTCACTGATTAACACATGATTAAATAATAAAAACAAAACCTTGGATCCATCATTATAAATCACTTGCCAGATGAAAAGTATTAGTGACCAATTTCTTTATAGACCTTTGCATAAGTGGCACCTAAATTTGAATAACAATACTTTATACATCCCAAGCTTCGTACTGATGTTTCCAGACAAAGGACTTTTCACATGAATGTGAGGCTTAGGATGTATAAGTATTGTTATTCAAATATCCACACCATTTATGCAAAAGCCTATAAAGCTTAACACCTAAGCTTAGCAAGCAAGAAAGGCAAACCAAGTCCAGTGAGCTTGCTTGGTGTGCAGTCTGTGGTATTACAGAGATTTAATGTGTTTTGTCTTGGATTGGCTTGATGTTTTTGCACAGTTTTGAATAGTAGAATAGAAATTAAAACTATGCAAGCAAATGGTTGTTACAAAGTTTTTTAGGCAGCATTTATTGCTGGTTGGAGTAGGAGGCTGGCTTTGCCATCTTTCTCTGAAGACCTTTAAGAGTTAAAGTTTAGCAGAGTAGCTGGCCAAGATCATGAGGTAACTAGTGATTTTTGCCAGCTGACAGCTACTTTTGACAATCCTGCAAAGCGCAGTTAAATCCTTTTACATTATGAGGATATGATATGGACTATAGGTAAAAAGGTAAAGTCTGCATACAAGCCAAGTGGCCCTGCCATCAGGCCAGTGCTTAACTTCGGTTTCTGTGGCATGGAGCAACCAGGAGTATTTCTACTCCCCTTCGCTGGGATGCTAGTCCATCGCAGGATAACTCCCAGCAGTACCCATTTATACACCTGGGTGGCATGAGGTACTGTGGGAGTAAGTTGTCTTGCCCAAGAACACAACACAATGTCCCTGGCCAGGACTCAAACCTGGACCGCATGATCCGGAGATGAAAACAACTCAGTCTGTAAAAGCATGGAAACACCCTTAGAATTTTTATCTTGGAGTCATTGGTTTACCTAAATATTTTATGCAGCTGATCCACATCTGATTTTCCTTCAAACAGTGGTTTTCTGTTATAAAGTTCTGCCATGATACACCCAACGCTCCAAATGTCCACGGCTGTGGCATAACTGGAGTGAAGGAGAACTTCTGGAGCTCGGTACCACAATGTTACAACCTACAACAGATCATAGAAGAAACTTATATAGAAGAAGAACTCAATGTTCTTTACGTGGTTCTGATAGTTAATTTGTATTCTACTCTTGGGAATGAAAGGGCTTGATTTTTTTTTTAATTTAGATTTTTATCTTTTGTTAATTATAGTGTCCTGCAGTTACTTTTTTTTCCCTAATCTGGTGGTTTTCCTTTTATGGCACACTGATAGAGCTCTCTTGTGAACCATCCAGACAAATGGCTTTTTCAATTTTTTCTTGAATTTTTTTAAATTTATTTATCAAATATATATATATATATATTTTTCATTTTCATCACGATCACTTTTGTTCCTGACTTGTGAATACATTTATATCTTGTTATTGAATTATAATGAATTAAGGTTGTCTCCAAATGCAAGTGCAAATTAAAGATTCACACCTCAAGTGAAATTTGAAATTTTCTTAAAATTCTATGAGCCTTTCTGGACCAATGAATCAGCCATGTCCATGATCTGAAAGAGTGGACGATAGTGTCTTTGATTTGCTTGTTGAACTTGTATGTGTATAAAGTTTAAAAATGTTCTGGTTTTGATTACCAACACTTGTTTAGTTTATTTATAGCATTTACAGGTGAAAGAGTCTTCAGGTAAAAGACAAGTTCATGATATCGAACCAGCTTTCTTCTTTTCTCCAACTTACCACTGACGTCAAAGCCATGGCATCGCGGTATATCCTTGCGAGACCAAAGTCAGCAATCTTCACTTGGCCTGTTTTAGAGACCAGGATATTCTGTGGTTTTAAGTCTCGATGAACTATGCGATGGGAGTGCAAGAAATCGACACCATTCAACAGTTGATGTGTGATGTCCTGATAAATCAAAAGAGTTTAGTCACTGCCTAGTACTCAAGGTCAATAAAGTAAGCTCATAAGCTAATGAATTTATTAGATTAAGTTCTCAGAGAACAATGTGATTTCTTCTGGTTATAAAAACCCGATACTGTAGAGATACTTTACAAAGAGCTTATGCTAAGCAGCTTTTCATCAGCATTTGGCAACTGCAGGGCTTGTTAAGTGGGATATCCTGTTCAGAGTGCTTTATCATGTAGTATTCATTGATTGTTTTGAGTTAGATGTAATCCCTACCCCCCCCCCCCCTCCAGACATCATTAGGTCCTCAGAAAACAGGATCCTTGGACAAACTGATGCCCAGCATGGATAAAAACAGTAGTAACTTAACATTATATTATATGACAGAATTAAGGTTTGGAATTACATCTTTGAACAATAAACGGAAGTCATCATTCAGTCAGAGTAATTTTTTGAGTAGAGACGTGTTAAAACATGTTAATTTTAAGGGTCCACGTGGCATATGATAAATTGATAGGTGTTTAGATTGACACTTTCAAGATTCACACTCTTGAGTTAACCAATAGCCTCTCTGAAATCACTCAACTCTGTTTTAATTCTCATAATTAATGGAGAGTGAAAAGAAAAGAACTTTTTCCATACGCGTATTCATTTGAAAGGAACGTGGTTCCAGTAACTAAATCTCAAAGAATGTGACCTTTTAAGTGATCATGCTGTGCTGAGAACAGAGTGAAATTTGCAGGTAATATCCAGAGTATTATGAAGAGGGCCAATGTTATTACACCTACCACAAAATATCTAATGAACCATTTTGTATATTTTTGGTTCCAAAAGCTGGATTTGCATAAATTGCAGTCTAAACATCGAAGACATCTCTATCCTGATTAGAATTTTGAATGAATTGGTGTTCATGCATGTACAATGAATTAAGCTCTGGATTGTTCATCAAGGGTATTGAAGAAAATGAAAATCATGTAGTTTGAGTGCAAAACAGAAGCAAAACAAAAAAGTGGGTGATTTAGGTTCCTTAGAAATGAAACACTTCGAGTGGTTTTTAGGCACTCAACAGTATATCTATTTTGACAGTTCAGGTGTTAATTGCCTTGTTCAGATCAAGTGATGTTCCCTGGAGCATGAATTTTCCTTTAGCTATAGCTTTCCCGAGGGAGTGAAATATGTCTTGATTTGCATGTGATTAATAATAATTTTATGCATCTTAACAGTTACACACCTTGATTTTCCACTCTGGCAGTCCCGGTTGAGGGCAGTTCTCGAGGTAAACACTGAGATCCTGCTCAATGTGCTCGAATACAAGTGAGAGGTGGGTCTCTTGACGCAATGGGGATGTCGTGTGAAACACATCTAGTAGCCTGTGGAAAAATTCAAGAGAAATCTGCGTGAAAAACCATTAATTTTTCAACTTAATTATAATCTCAAATTAATTATTCCCTCAAGATAATACACTAGGCTTTTAACCCAATCACTNGCCGGATTTGTTTAAAATTCAACAAAGGATTTTGTTGGTACAGTCTAAAATAAACAAAAGCGCGCTGTTTCTTTTGAAGTCGTAATCAATGGTGATTTTTGTATTTCAAGCAGAAGCTTGTGAATTATGCATCTACCAAGGCATGAATCGTCGGCAATAAACTTGTGAAATCGAAAGCGATCGCATTTAGGTCCTCGTATTATCGCATGATTTCCCAAGCATATGTGTATAACAAAGTATTTATTAGTCAAAACAAATTATTGATCAAATTTCTTATTGTCAACCTTCGAGTCCCAGAACTTTAAGAAAGAATGTGTACTTAATGAAATGCGCTCTTATCGAACTGTCTGCCTATCACATGAATTCGGCCGCCCTTGACAAAGAATACGTAACGCTCACTTTTTTCAAGCTGAGAAACAGGTCAAAGTTTTATGGTAATCCCACAAGAATGTAAATCCTTGATTAAATGCTCCACTCGCTGTGTTTGTTCGTTTTCACATCGAGATAAAACGCAGCGTTGAAAGGTCGACTCGGACATCAGTCAATCGTATTTCAGAAACTTGAGACGTCAAGTTAAGGTAAACAGGGCTTCCAGAAACGACATCAGCAGTTGGTTCGGTGTAATGGAAGGCGTAAATGTTACGTAAACATCGCCCTTTCTGAGTCCTGTTGATTTTCAGCGCGAATAATGCACTCTCGAGGTTTTGCGGCAACAAAAAATGGAGTTACTTTCAAAGGCGGGATTTAAATTTACCCTCGACATCGCGGGAAGTCGTTCAGCCAATCACATTGCTACTCGGCCGGTAAAACCTACTTCCGGTGAAAGCAAAACATACACAAACTTCCTTTGCAGCCGATATGAAAATCTTGGGCCGCCGTGTCAGGCTTTCGACCTCGTCGGAATTTTTTTTGACATTCTCGCGTATCCAATGCTAACCAGATGGACACAGGACAGAGTAAAACATCAGAATACAACCAAATGAACAGTGATTTATTCCGTGAAGATTTTAATTGTTATCTATTGAAGCGCTAAAGCCTTTAATTATGCGGTATATAAACATGTTTCGGCGGTTAAATTAATTTCTATCCTGGAACCTGCAGAAGATCTTGCAGAATGCGGCTGTATTTCGCGCAATAAAAAATGAACTTGACTAGAAGCCCGAGAGGCTGGAGTGTGTTCAACGGGACACAATTGAATTGTGAAATTACAGGTTTGGTAGCTCTCGGAATGTTATAATTAAACAAAAGATGAATTTTAATACGTCTTTGCTGAGGGCCAAATTTAACGAATATAAATCCCTCTTTTAATTTTTTCTTTTAGCTAAGTTTAATCATTTAGGCCTCTCGTGTTTGGAGGGGAAATCTTGGCGCGGATAAATAAAAATAAAATAAAACAAAAATATTCGCGTTGATATCTGGTACAATGAGGGAAGGGTTACGGTTTCGCAAGGTTCTCGGGAGTTTGTGTAGCAACCCACAGACACACCAAAAATTCTGGATCTCCAAAATAACACTTTATATTTATCGCCCATACTTCAAACAGGTCAAACAAACCGTTTAGCTTACCTGACGATGTTTTCATGCGAGAAATTGTCGATCTGCTTGAGGAGGGCTATTTCACGGATTGTGGAGAGTGGCATTCCTTCTTCGCTGTTTACAATTCTGACTCTCTTCAATGCCACGAAACGGCCTTCGTTCTGAAGATCGCGAGCCTTATACACGGTGCCATACGCTCCATTCCCGATCTCAGCCACCTCTTCGTACTTCTGAGCCATGGCTCCGATTTCAAAGCAGTTCAGTAGCCGAGGTTCACTGTCTCAATCTCGAGGCTTTGCTCATTTTAGCGTGACATGGCGAAGCATCCAGGGCTTGACATCCAAGAATCTTTCCCTTCTTATCGCGTTGGCCAACTTGTAAGGATTGCCACCAAATCCTATGAATCTGCTCCTCAATTTTCCATGGAAGTTGCCCTTCACAATTGGGGTCCTACGAGCTAAACAAACAATCGGATCGTCCGCAAAAAGAGTTTAGAGATTCGATAATGCTTCATAAATGGAAAGTAAATATTCAACTTCAATTCCGCTCTGGTCTCGGAGGAATTAGAAGTCGCATACGGTTTCAATTCAATTGGGTATTTATGTAAAACAATGCTAAAATAGCTGGGTTATCACTTTTTTTTTTCCCCCTAAATCAGTTCACCAGAACGCGATCTACTCGCTGGCAAGATGCGCGACTTACTTTGATCACGAACACTAAGCGGAGATTTGAATGAATGAAAAAGTCACATGAAGACTTCAAAATAAAGGTTGCAAGGTTCGCTGCTTTAACCACGTGCGCGCGTCTATGCCTATTTATTTCCTGTTGCTCAAGCGACGCTTGTGATTGGTTGCCGAGGGCTTTGCAGTCTGTGTATCGGAATGCGGGATCTATTCATTGGCTGGCATTGTCACGCCCTCGCTGATAGTGGCCAATGGAGGCAATTAGAGAAACCTAAAAATACAATTTTCTGCATGGAAAAAGAAAAGAAGCTCGGAGACCACCTACTGGATAGAAACGGAAAGCAATGATTACCCAAAGAACTAATGTTGTTTTCTAGCACATGGTGCACCATCTGCGACCCATCTCATATTTCACTCTGCACACAAAAAAATGGTCACAAACTTCTAAGAGCGTTGTGTACATTCAAAGAACTACTCAGCAACAACAATACAACAGAATCTCGAAGGCACCGGAATTCAGCGGGACATGTTGACTCGAGTCGATCACAAGAGCCATCAACATCCCAAAGAGGTGGAGTCCTCGACAACATTTTCTAGATCTTATCTAATTGACTTTGTCCGTTGTCGAGGCAACCGAAGAATCGATTACAATATCGGAAATTGAGCGACAGATGTCTTTGGTACTCATTCATTGGCAAAGCGAGGCTTTGCCAACGTTTAAATGTCCCTAATCAAACTGTTTACGAGCGAAATGCTGACAAACAAGCCACAAGGTGGAACGGTCCAATTGTTTCTCACAAGTTACCTGCCCGTCACGGTTTGGAGTTTTTCACATTCGGTAATTAGGAGCTGATTGATTTAATTTCATCAATATTTAAGCCGCTCGTTAAAATTCCCTCGTGGACGGAACATATTTCGGTATTACAGTCCCCGAATTGCACGCTCACGCGAAATCTTGAGCTATTCAGGTAAAGTGATCTGCTTCAGAAATACTCCCGCATCAGCCCTGATGAAATCAGACTTTAATTAAATAATCATCATTCTTTTCTCTCTTGTTGTGCATTTTTTTGTGTGACTTCCCACTGAAAAACCTACGTCATTATTCACACGAGGCTTTTGAACGGAGCCGACACTGAGCACAGAAACCATTGACCTTCTACAGGTTGAATTTCACTTTCTTATACTCCCGTTGCCTTTCTCAAGGTAAACAGCTTTAGTTCCAGTTACAATATCCCGAGGACAAGAGAAGAAATTCATCGACTATCTCTGATCTTGATTGAGCAACAAATTCTCAAAAGTTAAAGTAGAAGAAAAGTATGACAAAGAGTAAGAGGAATTCGTCTTTGGAGCTTTTTATTGGAATAGTCAGGAATGGTTTTAAGTGCAAAACCCACATAAGTCAATTAGCAAGCATTTCTTGCTCTGTCACTCATTATAGCAATTTTAACAAGTCACGCGGCTTATGATAAGTGTGGGCGCGTTAGGGTGAAGGTAAACTATCTTAAATTATCTTATACACGTCAACGAGTCACATGAAGGCCAGCAGACGACCGCTATGAAAACGAAACACGTGCTCTGTCAAGGAACAAATAAGAAAGGAGATAATAGTCATTTACTATAGTAATCCAGTAAGCAAGCAAGAAAGCAGAGCGACATGCTACAGGCAGGTTAAAGCTATAATTCTGAGGAAGGCATCAAGCAGCGCAGGTATGTAGGTAGGTAGGTTGATAGCTAGGCAGGCAGGCTTAACTAAAAAAATATATAAAACAGTAATGTTACTAAATATAAAGTTGGTAAAGTGAACAAGGAAAAAGTCAGCGCCTTGTTGAAAAAATCCAGAGAGGAGCTTATTAATGCGTTAAACGGTAATACCTTTTTTAAAGTGATAACCAGTTCTGTTATGTGCTGTAGCTCGTCAACCTACAATGACAATAAAGTTTTAGTCAAAGTAATACCGCGTTAACTCATGGTTATTAATTGTTCTCTATAAATAAACCTTAAGGTTCTAAGGTTTACAGACTAAAAAACACATGTGAAGTGGGAACCCACTTTGTCTTTATTGTAAAAACAATTGCGACTTCTAGTTTTCTCTTCAAGTTAGTTTAACTAAACACGGAGCATGCCGGAATGTTGAAAGTTTTACTACAAAATGCGTGTTAAAATTTTGAATAGCTAAATAAGTCAACGAAAAGAAAGTTATCGTAGAAGAAAAAGCACTCGTCGTTCGTTCAAATGGTTTTAATCACACTGATCAATGAACCTATTTACAAAATTATTTAATTGATCACGAGGTGTAAATGTCAATCAAACGTTCGAAATCAATTCTCTGGAATGTAATTACGTAACTCGATGACAAACGAAACTTTCGTGACAAAAATATCTATCGGCCAATGAGGAAACTCATTTTGAAGTAATGAGAGCATAATCGCAGAGCCAAGAATATTAAATATTTACAACTTCGATTCTAAATTGGTCTACATACGCTCTTCAGTAGGCCGGTTTGTAACACCCAGAGTAGCGTCTTTGCAGCAAGCTACCCTGCCTAAATAGTCGTTTAAAATGTGTATTCCATTCGTAATTTTCTTGATAATATGGTTATGGTGATCGCATCCCTGCTTGGTAGTAACTGATTACTTCTACTCATATTCTGCTTGTTGGAATGATATTTCCATGATTAAGCGAGTTTCATAGACTGCAATTTTTAGTTCATGAAGAAACAATTATCGTCTTACAATCTAAGTAACTTATTAATTTTATCCACTTATTAAATAGGTTTAGCTATTTAGATGATCCAAACTCCATCAGTCTACACATTACCTGTAAATTTGCCTTTAATTTGTTATATATGTTACCCATGCTAAATTTAGTATTTGCTTTTTTAATCACCTTTTAAAAATAAATTTGTGCAGGCTAGAAATAAAATGTCGTCTTACGTTTAAATATGTCTCAGGCACCACTGATCTGGGAAAGCTGCACTCTGGTATTAGTTTGATTATCGTTTGCAAGTAACTGACCCCAGATTGCTTAACCTTACCTGTTCATTTACTGGCGGATGCCGTTTTCGATTCAGTTATTTTGGGGAAAAAAAAACTAACTTCTTGTTCTGTTGCTACATGATGCTCACTAAAGCTGACAGCCAAAAAAATGTCCTGTTCTAATCGAAATTCCGGTAAGCTTAGCTAACAAGATGATAATGTGTTTGCAAAAGTTGAAGCGATCGATGACAGCGGGAAAAGGTAAATATTTACCACCGAAAAAACTCTTTCGGTTTCGAAAATTGTAAGCAGATTAATATAGCAACCCGGCTCTCGATCTAATTCAACCCAGCACCAATTAACTGTTACACTCCGCTATTTCCGAAAATTTGGAGGTACATAAAGACAAAATCCCCTTAGCTGATTGTATTCTTTGTTCTCATCAGTTGATCGATACTGTAAGGAGAAGCTAGTTCTTGACACATCTGAGGGTCTTGCTCTTGCAAGTGAAGGGTTGTAAATTCTTAGAAATAGAAACTGATATACGATATCTTGAAACTTCGAAAAGAAATCGAAAGCAAATACCACAAATTTTCACTGATGATATCGCTATGCACGAGACAGGCCTCTGTGCATATTCTTACACAGGATATAGAAATATTCTATTGATGCGTCCATTTAGAGCAGTAACAAAAGCTAATATGTCTTTTACATATCTTTGGAGAATCCACATCGATATTCTCCTATATTCTCCTTGTGAACACATTGTCAAGCAAACAGGTAAAGAGAATAGACAAATTCATCAATGCTATTTTGATACATCTTTGATTTGCAACACTTGACTTTACTTCTTTGCGTTATATTCTTCATTACATAATATTTAAAGGTGAAGGACGGATCTCGATTTTCTTTGCATGATTAATTTCATTTCACTTTCGTATTTTGATCAGGGTTTTATGGTTCAGATTTCAAGGGCTAAGCGGAAATTCATTACTAAAAGAACCAAAACATGTCCCATAGCCGGTCATATCCATTCAGCTGGCTTTTCGAGACTGACGATGGCTGACTAAAACTCTTCTTTCGCGACTTGTTGCTCTGTTTTTGTAATCGTTGTCCTTAACGCTTCTAAAAGTCAATGTCAAACACAGGTGTAGATCTATGTTACTGTTGCCCATCCCTGACTGTCATTTTTAGCATTTTACGCCCCATAAAGGCATGTTTTACTTTCGTTTGTTGTTTCTAATGCTCTTAAATCAATGAACGACATAAAGGAAATTTGGTTAGTGTCGTAATTTTAGCCTCGACTGGCAACAATATTGATTCACAACGTCAATTACGTTGAGTGCCTTGAAAAAATATGATGGCAATCTCTTTTCCGGTCCTCCAGAACAGAACATTTACGCAAAACAAAACGGGCCTTGTCTGGCTCCCGAAGTTTGTATGTAGCAAGCATGCAGGTCGCTGGGATAACAAACATCAGATATCAGAGGAGATTTGCATGTGTTTGCACCACTCGGGTTTGAGTAAGCTATTGCCTTTGGTAGCAAATTTTTGCTCAATTTATCTTTGTTACATGGAATTTCGTTCCGCCCCTTACATCCTAAATTGATTTCAAAGATCTCCTTTTTGACACACCCACGACGGAAGCAAGGTTACTATACCATAAGCTACCATGAAAACAATTTATAAGGAGCTCTTTTTTAGAAAAACAAAAAGATAAATGACTAAAAGAGGCGTAAAACTTCTTGAACTAAACTGTCTCGTGTTCTTTAGTAGTTCTCACCCAAAGACATCTTGCCCAGTTGGTGGATCGGAGATGGGATGAGAATATGCCCCCGAAAAATGACAAGATCGTCAATATCTTTCAACGAGTCCAAAAGCATAATTTTGATCAACTCTTTAAAGCACCGCTTGTTATGTCTTGAATCAATAAAGGTTTAAAAACACAGGTCTAAATGGTAAAACATGTTTTGTTTATTGTTAAACTAAGCAGGAGTTATACAATTCTTTGCTTCGCGGAAAAGATCTATCTGAGGAGAAATATTGCTGGAATGATAATGCGGCAGTGTTCACACGTTAGAATTTTTAACGATGAAGAAATTACTGCTAACGAGTTTCCCTTCTGTTTTGGTAGCTCTCCAATAAAACTGATGAAATCACACAAACGATAAAATTCCCAGCAGCGCATATTTGATAGGTCAAAGTATTCACATAGTGTTTCACTCTACAAATGACTTATGATGCCTTGTTAGCGATAATTATGCAGAGAAAACCGTAAAATGTTGTATTGATATCCTACACAGATACCGAACCGAGCCTAAGAACGTAACAGTCTACCTCTCGTAGTACGTTTTTTTCCTCGTATTTTTATTATTATTATTTTTTTTTTTGATTCAGTACTCGTGGTCTCCGTAATCATGAGGTCTCAAAGTCCCCGGCAGTCGATTGTGTTGCAACGTGTTTCAGTCGTCGTGGTATTGCCTGATATAGCCCCAGACTGGCGGCTTTACCACCTGTTCTGTGAATGCATCGGTGGCGTCATACAATACTGACCACTTAGCATAAAACCTCAAAGTAAACAACGTGTGGTCCCGATCTTTCGATGCACCTGGGGGAACGGAAATTGGTTTTAAAACACCGGCAGTTGGAAAAATCGAGAGTTAATTTCCGCCTACATTTTAGTTTGCCAAGGGAGCAAACAATTGCTTCGGCAAAAGAGGGTTCGAAAAATCGGTCGGGACTGCACTTTGTGACTTCGTGACGAACAGCAAAAAACGTTGAAAGTAACGGACGGTTGTGCAGTGAAGTAACACTTAGCTGTACTGAGAGGTCCGCTACAAAGAATGCAAAGACAATTAGGCCTGAGGAGCCACTCGGGACCCTATTAAATACATTACTTTAGTGATAATACCGGTGAATGACTCCACATGCTGTATTTCGGTTCACATTCAGTGCGATTACAGACCGCCTGGGCCGGGTTCTTACCGGTATTACCAGCTTGTAGGTTCAGAATCAGTGTCGGAACTTTCTGAGCTTTAAAGCTTTGTAGATAAACGTTTCTGAGTGCTAGAGGCAGGATTGTTTGGCGCCTGAAAGTTAAAGCAGTTGGAAAACCTCTCGGTACTAAACTATCGACATTCAAGGAGCTGAGAGTAGGCAATGAGAGGGCAAATAGCTATTGAGCGGCCATCCCTCGTGAAGGTTTTCACTGCAGCTGCTGTTTTAAACGACGCATAACATCGAATAACAACTTCCAGATATTAGCCCTGATTTCACATGTAAATTCTCTTTACTAGTCTTACTTCATTTCACATATTACTGCCTAGTCTGGAGAATTGAATTGGTAATCAGTTCCTTCAGACATCAGTGTTTGTTTGCGTGCGTGTCCGTTCATATCTGTGGCGTAGTAGCTAATCTATATCATTGATATGAAATTAAATATTGTTATCATTATTTGGACTGAAACCAGCGAATTACGCTCAGTTATTTATAATCATGTCTTGGCCTCTTCGTGGGAGTGAAGTTAAGTATTTCAAAAAAAGATTTTTTTCATTGCAATTACGTCAGAAGAGCTGGCAAGCTTTGATAATTGAGAACGGATTTAACAATATACCTACTCCCGTGATGTAGAGCAAATATCTCGAGAAGTAAGGGTCTAAAACCCACGTGGAAAATCCTATCTTTGGGAAGTTTTATGTTGAGTCCGTGTTCAAATTCCATGATTTTGTTCCCCTTAATCTGCCCTCGTCTGTCCCTTCGTCTCTGTTCTCTTGTTAAAGGTCGTTTACACGAGAGGATCGATTCACTCTACTGTGTTATCAGTTCTTTGCAGTCATACACCATTTAATGCTTTTTTCACTTCAATAGTGCCGCGTATATAGCTGCTCA